CCCCAAAACCCCAAAACCCCAAAACCCCAAAACCCCATCCAAGCTAAATTTTATTGAAATTAATATCTTTTTCATGGAACTTCTGCATGGCAATTTCTATATGACTAAGCTCATTCTGAAAGTTGAATTCCCTACAGATTATGCTATGCTACTCACTGAGTCTTCTTCTTTGGGAAGCCGGCCTCCTCACATTTGTAAATAATATCAGTAATTTTGGATAATTTAGTGGCTAAACTACTGTTTCTGGTTTTAAATCGGTTCCTTGTTGCTGCCTTTCTTCGAACCTAATCGTTGTAGAACCTGACTTACACTATATGGACGTTGGAGGGTCAAATTGAACTGACTCTTGCCCAATCTAGAAGAGTCAATTGAGGCTCTCCTCTTATTCATATCTGCGGTGACAATCCGATTTGTTGAGTTCTTAGTTGAACCAATCTAAACAATATGAAAGAATTGTTACGATAAAAGACTTCCTTGTGGAAGACAGCCTGTTCCTAGAAGATCCTGTGGTTGGCTTATCCTGGAACCGCTTCAGGTTCCTGATCGAGCTGATTTTACTTTCTCTATAAGAAGTAATAGGCCTGTTTATAGAGGGTTTCATCTTTTTAGGCTTCCTTGAAGTATTCATAAATGCAGTTTTATTTCTCCGACTCCTGTGTGCCAGGGACTTCTTGAATCTAGAGGCCTGGCTTTGTCGATCCAACTTATTTCTAAAGTTCTTCCCTATAACATTTAAAAGTGAGGAATACGAATCGTAGGAGTGACATCTTCAATTCACTTAATTCGTTCCTCAATCACTGCGTTACAATGCATGGCTCCGATCTGATGACCCATTTTTAAGTTAGAAAAATTATTTTTGACTCGTTTGTACTGAAACCCACTAGTAAGCATCCTTGGCTGGATCGCAGAAGTGGCTGAGCTATCGTTCTGAAGAATAGCAGAAAACTTACAATGTTGCTTTGATTCGAACACTCCGTAGTGTTTCTCTTGGTCGCAATGTTGCTACCCTTCTGTATATATTCTTTCAGAGCACCAAGCTGGTTATTTGAATCCAGGAGTTTTGACCTCACTTAACTGGAAGATGTTTGAAGTAGATTTTGATCTAAATCCAGAATGGATTTTTCCAAAAATCAGCTTTGTATCCCCCTAGAAGAGTTATAATCCGTTCTAGAGTAGGTTAGGACTTACTTCGTGACAGAGAGACTTGTTATCATTCATAGTAGGTTTCTCGGTATGTGCAGAGGGATTTCTCTGCACTTTCCTTCCAAAATTCATGGTGAAACTACAAAGATTTTTAAACAACTCCTACGTGAAGGTAGATTTGGACTTATTTTAATCCCTTTTTCTTCTTGTTAGTGCCAGATACTACAATTTCAAATGAAACCTTACTCTCTGGTATACTGACTTTGATCTTGTGTACCTTCTTCTTCGGGTTTTGGAAGAGACTTTCCCTTCCAAAGTCTCCTTCTTCAAGCTGGTAAATGCTGGTAGAGTCAATGGCATATTCTAAACATGATTTGAGATAATTTACTCCTATTTGTGATTGTTTAAGTCTTTCAAGAACATGTTGAGGTCGTGGAACTTATCATTACTCTTCCATTGGAATTTCTATGTATATTAATCTCAAGCGAAGTGACACTCAGTCTCTTAAAATAGACCTGAAAGTGCCTTAAAGAATAAAATCGTTCTAAATGCATCTAAGAGCAATGTAAAGCAAGCTTGAAACTTCCCAAGGTGCTTTATACACCCAAATTAGTGCTGAAAATATGGATTTAGCTTACAGAGTATCACCTCTGAATATTTTCCCTATTTTTAACACCACAACTTCTTACTTTATGCGCTTCTCTGTTGAAAGAGGCATTGAGATCTTATAAGAATCCTCATAATCATCAAGAAAATGTTTGAACTTGGTGTAAATTTTATCAGTGAGGCTCTCTCTTTGAGTTTTGCTATTAAAATTAAATTTTTCCAGCCCAGTTTCCTACACACGTCAATTCTTTTCAACAGCTGGCTTGCAGTATTCAAACCTTTTCTACCACAGATTAGATTAAATTTACAGTCTTTTCAAACAATTCTTGCTTGATCTCTTCGATTCGTTTCATTTCGAGCATTTCAAAGCTAGATTTTTAAATATTTTTCAAAGTAGAGAAGAAATTTACATCTTATTTTGATCGGCCTATGAGGTCAACAGGGAAATTACTTTCATTGACATCTGTGAACTTTACTTTTGGACCTGTGGACATCTTCCTGGCTGTCTTACGCTGCTTCCTCTTCTTTTGTAGGATCACTATATTAGATAAAGTTCTGGAAAGTAGTAATGTTTCATACTTTCAATAAAAATAATAATGAAAGGGGTTTTGGGGTTTTGGGGTTTTGGGGTTTTGGGGTTTTGGGG